CAAGCATGAAAATGTTTCACGAACGAAACCAGATCCTCTGATCTTTGTTTTATCAGTAGAGTTTTTGTCTGAAAATACAATACAAATACATTATTATTATTGTTATTATTATAATACACAGAATTTATATAGGGCCAACAGTTTGCACCCTATATAAATACAAAATGAAGGTGGACATTACAGTTACAAAACAATTATAGTGTAAGAGGAAACAGAGGGCCCAGCTCATTAGAGCTTACAATCTAGGAGGAAGGGTTGAGTGATACAAAAGATAATAGCTGTGGGGGGATGAGCTGATGGAGGAAATAATAGGCAGTTTACTAGTTAGAAGCAGGATAGGCTTCTTTAAAAAGAGAGGTTTTCAGTGATCGTCTAATGTGTATAGATTAGGAGATAGCCGGACAGATTGGGGTAGGGAGTTCCATAGGACGGGAGAAGCTCGGAAGAAGTCCTGGAGGTGAGCATTGGAGGAGGTGACATGGGAACTAGAGAGCAGAAGGTTTTGGGAGGATCGAAGAGAGCAGTTTGGTTGATATTTTGAGATGAGGTTGGTGATGTAGCTGGGTGCAGAGTTGTGGATGGCTTTGAATTCGTATTTTGAATTTTATTCGTTGGGCAAGTGGAAGCCAGTGGAGGGACTGGCAGAGATTTGCAGGGAGTTGCAGTAGTCGAGGCTAGAGATAACCAGGGAGTGAATTAAGAGCTTTGTGGTATCACTGGTTAAAAAAGATGCATATTCTGGAGATGTTGCAGAGGTTGAGGTAGCAGGATTTGGACAGGGATTGGATGTGAGCCTGAAAAGATAGTTTAGTATCCAGGGTTACCGCTAGCACCCTGGCATGCAGGGATGTGTTGATAGTGGTGCTATTGATCCTGACCAAGAAATCAGGGGAAGAGGCACATGGGGGAGGAAATATTATGAGCTCAATTTTGGATAGATTGAGTTTTAGAAAGTGGTGTGACATTCAGGCTGATATGTCTGTTAGTATATTGGAGATACGTGAGGAAACTGATGGGGTGAGCTGAGGAGAGATAAGATAGATTTGTCTGTCGTCAGCATAGAAATGGTATTGGAAACCATGGGAAGCTGACCCAAAGAAGAAGTGTAGTTCGAGAATAGGAGAGTTCCAAGGACAGAACCTTGGGGGACCACAACAGTAACAGGAGTTGGAGAGGAGGAAGTAGAGTAGTAAGTGACACTGAAGGTGCGGTGAGATATGTAAGATTCGAACCAACGGAGAGTTCAGTCACGGAGACCAAGTAAATAGAGTTTTTTGAGGAGGAGGGGGTAGTCAACTGTGTTAAAGGCAGCGGAGAGGTCGAAGAGTAAGAGTACGGAATAGTGATCGTTGGTTTTAGCGGTTAGTAAGTTGTTTGTGAGTTTTAGGAGAGCAGTTTCTGCTGAGTTTTATGGTGAAATCCAGACTGAGGGGGATCAAGAACGTTATTCTCAATGAGGTGGCAGCTCAGCAGGTTGTAGACTAGACGTTCAAGGAGTTTGGAGGAAAAAGAGAGTAAGGAGATGGGTCTTAGGTTGCCAACATTGGTGGGGTCCAATGAGGCCTTTTTAAGTATGGGGGTGACTACGCATATTTTAGAGAGTTGGGGAAGATGCCAGTAGAAAGGGAGAGATTGCAGATATGAGTTAAAGAGTGAAGGATAGAGCCAGAGAGTGGCCGTAGTATTTGCGAGGGAACAGGAACATTATATCACTTCCGAATTTTCTTTCTGTCATACAATAATTTTCATAACTTTATTAACCTCTTCACTTTCGATATGAGATTAGCATGCAAAAAAAAAACGTACGATCATTCATTCAATATTCTCATCGTGTGTACGGGGCTTAAGACTAACTGGCTCCTTGAAGAGCTGAGCTTACAGAAGGCAGACCTTAAAATGATACTAAGCACACAATGTTTAATGTACATTATCCTTTTTCTGTATGTGGATCATAGCACTGTAATTATTTTATTTAAAAAAACCCATCTAAGTACCTTTTTCCTAATCAATATACAGCTGTCAAATGACCCAGAACTTTCCCAGCTTGTCTGCTGGGAAACATAAGCAGGAGGAGCTTCTAGTCCTGTGCTGTTAGTCACATATTCAAAATAAAAAACAGCCCTTGGAATACAGAGTAAAAATAAATATTTATTATTAATAAACGGTTTTAAATAGCCATACAAATATATATTTGAAATCAAATATGGATTATTTTTTGGCAATAACATGGTGTGGGTGGATTTCTATCACTCACAGGCTGTGTCACATCCCTCCAGTCTGTGTCTTAGAATACCAGGGAGGTGAAGCCTCCATCAGTCAAGATTTAATATCCCACCCTCATTGTGTTTAGCTGGTTAGTGGGCATGGAGGAGGAGGGAGGGAGTGGGCTGTCATTTACCACTATATATGCCCACATTTGTGACTCAATAGTCACATGGGCTTTCTGATGTGATAAGAAAGAAATGATCAGCATAGAAACTCACTGAAAACTGAGCATGTGCAGTAACTGCCAACACTGCTCTGTAAAATCCCCGCTGTTTTGGGGACATGAACAGAAGGTAGAGATAGAGAATAGCAGGATCTACCAGATTTTTGCAAAATATAGAAAATGAATCCCTTAGTGACTAATTGAGTTTGAACAGTATTTTAAATATTTTTTAATGATGTGGATTTAGTGACTCTTTAATGCTATGGATGTCTGGGATGTATTTATCATCTTAGTGTAGAAATATATTCTATGATTACAGAAGCCAATGGATCATCATCATCATGGGTAACCGCAGAGAGCCTCTGGATATTGGGACAACTTATGGTTCTTCTACCACTGAATGAAATCAAGAAAATAAATATTAATGAGGTAGGTTAAAAATAAATATTTATTCTCTTCACAATTATTCTGACTCCAGTTCTATCAGACTTTTATGTCTGGCTTGAGCAAAGTTGAGCCATGCACTGCAGACAATCTTTGCCAGCTAGCTGAATTCACCAAAATAGTTGGCATCCACAAACATAATTTATCGTATGTAGGTGGATTCAAGTATATACAAAGATGATGTGGTAGAATTAAGTATTTGGAGGTCAAAGGAAACATTCTCATCTAAACTTGGTTTACAGGATGAAAAAGGCAATTGTATCACAAACTGGTGAAGCTGATGACTGGAGAAGCTTCTAGAAGTCAGTAGGCTTTGTCCCCCCTCTCCCCATTAAGGATTGGCACCTTTGTAGAGTGGGGGAGGGAGCGGGTACCCAAAATTGACATATACCCACTTCCACTGGGATCGCCTGGGTGATCAAAAGCGGACGTTGTCCTTCCCCTCCCTCCCCATAGTTTTCTGGGACATGTGACAGATCCCAGAAGACTACAGCACCATTCACAAAGTGCAGCACTACATGCACATGTGCAGTGGGCATCTGGCTGTGAAGCTACTGCTGTCACAGCCGGGTGCGCACACTGAAGATGCCGGCGTCGGGGAGAGAAGACGGCTGGTGAAACCAACCATGGTGAGGACACCGCTCAACTGAGGGACAGATAGGTGTCTGTATTTTAAGTCAGCAGCTACAATTTTTGTAGCTGCTGACTTTTATTTTTTTTTTTATTTAACTGGAACTCCGCTTTAAAGTGGTAATAAACTCAAAAGCAAACATTTATTATATTGCAGCTTACCCGTTCCTAGCTGTGATGGCTGCATTTGCTTTCTTTTTCTTATTTTCACCTGGTGATCTGGTCAGTAAGTCTGTTGTTTTTCAAAAGAACGAGCTATCCTGCAGATGTAGCAGTTACAGGGATGAGACAAACCATTCACCACTGACAGGGGTTCTTACACTAGTCAGCTTTTATTTATTTATTTACATAAAACCTTTATCCCAAAAGGATAAAAGCTATTGCTATAACTGCTTATAAAGTATTAGCTGAAGTTTGGCCTCAGTTTGTTAGTGTATCGGCAACTGCTAGCACATCTAGCAATCCCCTCCCCCAGATTAACAAAGCTGCTGTCCAAAGGTGCCCCCTGTGCTCCTTTATCCAGAGTTGAGGCACTCTAATACAGGAGGTGTGTTACATGCCAGATCACCAGGTGAATATAGAGGGGGGAAAAGCCTACAAAAATAAAACTAATGCAGCTACCACATCTAATGATTGGTACTGTAAGCTGCAATATATATTTGGTCTTGGGTTTAATACTGTTTTAAATTCACTAATGTGCAGTCAGCAATCTATTCATAATAAAAATCTGTCTACAGTGAGAACATTTTCTAAGATAGTGAAACATTCCATATGCTAAGACTTATTCTAGAACTAATTAGTTTAACACTCTGCTCTGTTCCTAGATCCGCGTGTTTATTAGCTATGACAATGCTACAAAGCAGCTGGATACAGTGTATGATATCACACAAGATCTTGCCAAAGCATTTCTGGCACTTATAAACTCATCGGGGTTTGATATGAGGAACATCTCCACTATATACAGGTAAAATGTCAGTATATTTCATGTATTTTCAGGCTTCTCTAGTCAAAATGTGAAAAAAATTAAAGTGAGCAGCTACAAAAACTGTAGCTGCTGACTTTTAAAAAATAGACAGCTGACTCTCAATCCAGCGGTGTCCTCACTGCAGCCGGTTTCACTGGACGTCTTCTCACCGCAGCATCTTACGCCTGGGCACACGGCTGTGACAGCTTGCGGCTTTACAGCCAGGTGCCCACTGTGCATGCATGCACCTTGTGAATGGTCCCGTAGTCTTCTGGGACCTGGGGTAGTCTTCTGGGGTCTGTTCATAATATTAGAGGGTGCCTCGGGACTGTCCATAATTCTAAAGGGTGCCTCGGGTCTGTTCATAATATTAGAGGGTGCCTCGGCACTGTCCATAATTCTAAATAGTGCCTTGGTACTGTCCATAATTATAGAGGGTGCATTGTAACTGTCCATAATTTTAGAGGGTGCCTTGGAACTGTCCATAATTCTAAAGGGTGTCTCAGGACTGGCTGTAATTCTAAAGGGTGCCTCGGGACTGTCTATAATTTTAGAAGGTGCCTCGGGACTGTCCATAAATCTAAAGGGTGCCTCAGGTCTGTCCATAATATTAGAGGGTGCCTCGGGACTGTCCATACTTCTAAAGAGTGCCTCGGGACTGTTCATAATTTTAGAGGGTGCATTGGAACTGTCCATAATTTTAGAGGGTGCCTCGGGACTGTCCATAATTCTAAAGGGTGCATTAGGACTGTCCATAATTTTAGAGGGTGCCTTGGGACTGTCCATAATTCTAAAGGGTGCCTCCGGACTGTCCATAATTCTAAAGGGTGCCTTGGGTCTGTCCATAATTTTAGAGGGTGCCTCGGGACTGTCCATAATTCTAAAGGGTGCCTCAGGACTTCTGTCCATAATTTTAGAAGGTGCCTCGGGACTGTCCATAATTTTAAAGGGTGCCTTGAGACTGTCCATAATTCTAAAGGGTGCCTCGGGACTGTCCATAATTCTAAAGGGTGCCTCAGGACTGTCCAAAATTTTAGAGGGTGCCTCGGGACTGTCCATAATTTTAAAGGGTGCCTCGGGACTGTCCATAATTTCAGAGGGTGCCTTGGGACTGTCCATAATTCTAAAGGGTGCCTCGGGACTGTCCATAATTTTAGAGGGCGCATTGAAATTGTCCATAATTTTAAAGGGTGCCTTGACTGAAAAAAGGTTGAGAGACACTGGCCTAGACAATCGCAGCAGAAGTGTCAGCGTGTACCTGTCAAAATCGGGTACCCGCTCCCCAAAGTTGCCAATCCTTAACAGGGATTGGGGGACGAGGCCTTAAAATGGAACTTCCCCTTTTGGGTGGACCTCCACTTTAAGGAACCATGATCTTCACCCTACAGTCCTCCACTGACCATTGACAGTTGTCACTGACTCTCTGATGACCTCCAATCTCTTTGAGGGCATGATGGGTGACAGGTAGTAGGTAGACCAAAGAACTTAATGCCTGAGCAAGACAAAAATGTTTACAGGCGTCAAGCTCTTGGGCATTAATTCATTTCATTGACTTGAATTCTAGGTACTGAAATGAATGCTCAAGCCCTAAACACACCTAGCATTAACACACATTTAGGCTTGTTTACAAGCATCAAGCGTTTTTTCTGCCAAAATGCTGCTGCTCCTGGACACACTGGCAGTGGGTTTTTTTCCTGCCTCTAAACTCTGCTGCACTAAATGCTGCTAAAAGTCTATTTGTTCATGGACACATAGGCTAACATGGAGGGGTGTTAGCAGGAAGCAGGAAAAAAAATACCTGACGCCACTAAAAGCAGCAGTAATAACATCCTGTGTGTATGAGGCCTTAAGGTAAGTTTTGATCTTGGACTAGCAGGAAGAAAGTTTAAAGATAACTCTAAGACCTGGTTCACACTGATGCGGTGCTGATACTTTGGCAAGTGAAACCTGAACAAAGCTGGAGACCGCTGTAACAGATAAATGGCCTGTGGAATGGCCTGTGTCTTGCTGCCCATCTCCAGATATCCAGCCAAGAGGACCCCAGTGTTGGGCTGGGAGTGGGACTTCTTGCAGGAGACAGTCTCTTCCACAGACCCTTACCATTGCACCACTGACACTGTGAGGCCTACATCTCATCTGCTGCCTTGTGGTGCACAGAGTACAGCCGGCCTCATTCACCTCCATCCAGCCTACACGAGTGACTATCAGGGGCCTGACAGGAGGACACCTCAATGGTGGTGAGAGGTCCTTTGGCCCCTCTTATTTATATTAATCTCGCTTGCTGTCTTTGGAAACTTTGATGTTGCCAGTAGAGCTCTCCCCAAGACCCTTTGGGAATATTCACTCCATAGCCTGGATATGGATTACAAGTACCCTCACTTTGAGGGTGAAATGCTCCAATGTGAGATCAAGGGCCCCACCACCAGCAGACCCGCTTTTATATCTTTGGCCAATGGCTAGACAGGGCCCATACACTGTAGTTAGTGTTATTTGTGCTATGTTGTGTTGTAGAGGTATTTACTTCAGTTAGTGCTTTTGTATCAATGTTGTTCTCTATTCAGTCACCTAGGGCATTCTGCCAGGGTAATTTGAAAAGCAGTTAGTGGGAAAACAGCATTTACCTTGTTGCATTTATATGTGTTTCAGTATTTGATATTGGGTTAACACTGTCACTGTCAAAACTTTAACATTCTTCAGCCCTTTGTACATCTGGTACAGTTGTGGCCAAAATTATTCAACCCCCAATGCTGTAAAGGGGTTTAGGGACTATAGTGTACATTTGGAATTGTATTCAGAATCAAATCCTACAAGGACGTTGTAACTACCCAAATGCAACTAAAATGACATCAATTGTTTATGTAATACAGTAGTAAATGGTTCTTATGTGGTTTCTTCATTGCCACAATTATTCAACCCCTTAAAGACTACCACTCTGAAGAACAGAGGTTCATACAGGTGCTTTCCATCAGGTATTGAAAACACCTGTGGATGTCACCGAGCAGCAATCAAGCATAATAAGCACCAATTAGGCAGCTTTAAAATGACTGTGATACTCAGCTCCTTCTAGACATTTACTGGTGTGGTTACAAACATGGTGAAGGCAAGAGAATGGTCCAGGAAGACAAGAGAAGAGGTGATTTCTCTTCACAGGAAGGGCAATGGCTATAAGAAGATTGCAAAGATGTTAAACATACCAAGAGACACCTTAGGAAGCATCATTCGCAAATTCAAGGCAAAGGGCACTGTTGAAACGCTACCTGGTCGTGGCAGAAAAGATGCTGACTTCGACTGCTGTGCGCTACCTGAAGCGTAGAGTGGAGAGAAGTCCCCGTGTGACTGCTGAGGAACTGAGAAAAGATTTGTCAGATGTGGGTACAGAAGTTTCAGCCCAGACAATAAGACGCACACTGCGTAATGAAGGCCTCCGTGCCAGAACTCCCAGGCGTACCCCCTTGCTGTCTCCAAAGAATAAGAAGAGTCGACTGCAGTATGCCAAAAGCCATGTGGACAAACCACAAAAGTTGTGGGATAGTGTTCTGTGGACTGATGAAACAAAATTAGAACTGTTTGGGCCCATGGATCAACGCTATGTTTGGAGGAGGAAGAACAAGGCCTATGATGAAAAGAACACCTTGCCTACTGTGAAGCATGGTGGAGGGTCAATCATGCTTTGGGGCTGTTTTGCTTCTGCAGGTACAGGGAAGCTTCAGCGTGTGCAAGGTACCATGAATTCTCTTCAGTACCAGGAGATATTGGATGGAAACGTGATGCAGTCCGTCACACACCTGAGGCTTGGGAGACGTTGGACCTTTCAACAGGACAATGATCCCAAGCATACCTCCAAGTCCACTAGAGCATGGTTGCAGAGGAAAGGCTGGAACATTTTGGAGTGGCCATCGCAGTCACCAGACTTAAATCCGATTGAGAACCTCTGGTGGGACTTAAAGAAAGCAGTTGCAGTGCGCAAGCCTAAGAATGTGACTGAACTGGAGGCCTTTGCCCATGAAGAATGGGCGAAGATACCCGTAGATCGCTGCAAGACACTTGTGTCAAGCTATGCTTCACGTTTAAAAGCTGTTATAACTGTAAAAGGATGCTGTACTAAGTACTAAGATTGAATGTCACTTGGGGGTTGAATAAAACTGATAATGCTGTGAGCACAGAAAAGACATTTGTGGTTATTTCATTATAACTGTTATGTTATATTTGTCTGACCTACAAGTGCCTCTTTAATGTAAATGTAAGCAAGATGACTGAATGATCAAAAGCAATGTCAAACTGGCCAAAACACTCAATTTCAGTGGGGGTTGAATAATTTTGGCCACAACTGTACATCGAAAGTCTGAAGAGGTTAAACAAGCTTGAAGCCGTGAGCTTGTTTCTGTTTTTACTAGCCGGCTCCTGGCGTTACTGTAAATATGATCTGGGCGGCTTTAGAGCTGCCCGATCACTATTATTTGACTTGCTGAGTGCCGTGTGTGAAAAATTAAAATTTGCTCCAGGGAGGAAGTGTTTAAACAGCACTTCTTTACAGAGTTTTTTCTTACTTAAAGTGAAACTAAAATCATTTTTACCTTAATGCATTCCTTGCACTAAGGTAAAAAACATTTTTTATTTCTCTGTCCTCCTCCTTCTCTGTGTGAAGGGGAAGAGAGGGGAGAAGAAATTCAGCACTGAGCACAGCTGCATCTCCTCTCCCCTCTCTTTCTCTTCACACAGGGACTCGAACAGCAGCAGGAACCATTGCTTCTGTTGCTGTCAATCAAATGCAGTAAAGGAGTCCTGCTAAGTCCTGCTGTGTATGTCTATGGAGTGCAGCTCGGGAGTAATCAGACACTGTGTGCCTCCATAGCAACAGCTTGCTATGGGGACAAATATTATAGAGAGAAACTTGAAAAAAAGAAACTAACGCAGTCATCACATTTTAGGACTGTTAAGCTGTAATATATTTCATTTTTGTTCCTGGGTTTAGATTTCCTTTAATGGCAGCTCTGTCTTGCAGAGGTGCTGATTAGAGATGAGCGAAGTATTCAAAAATTCGATTCGGCTGATTCGGCGAATTCGAGGAATAAATTCGATTCGATGCGAATATATTCGCTGCGAATTTAACTTATAAAAAGGGTGTTTCTAGGCTTCAGAGAGACTTTATATTAGTGCAGAACACTGTACCTTTAATTTAAATGCCCTTGGAGTCTGCTGGGGAAGAGAAATAATACTGTCAGTCAGTATGACATGCAGATGAGTGCCGTCGATCTTAGAATCACCGCACACTTCACTCATTTGGGCAGTCACGGGGCCAAAACCAGAGTGTGGAGCCACAGTGTGGCGGTGGAGGCAGCAGCAATGGGAGGCCATACAGCACCCTATGACAAAATGGAACCCACCAGCAGTGTGAGGAGACCTGAAAGTGGCACATGGCAGAGTGTGGCGATGGAGACAGCAGCAATGGGAGGCCGTACAGGGATCCATGAGACACTCTGGACCTGGCAGCAGCATGAGGAGGCGGTACAGGGGCCCATGGCATATTACGGGCCTGGCAGCAGCAATGGGAGGCCCGTAATCTGCCAGCACCCTATGACAAAATGGAACCCACCAGCAGTGTGAGGAGACCTGAAAGTGGCACATGGCAGAGTGTGGCGATGGAGACAGCAGCAATGGGAGGCCGACAGGGACCCATGAGACACTCTGGACCTGGCAGCAGCATGAGGAGGCGGTACGGTACGGGGCCCATGGCAGATTACGGGGCCTGGCAGCAGCAGCAATGGGAGGCCCGTAATCTGCCAGCACCCTATGACAAAATGGAACACACCAGCAGTGTGAGGAGACCTGAAAGTGGCACATGGCAGAGTGTGGCGATGGAGACAGCAGCAATGGGAGGCCATACAGGGACCCATGAGACACTCTGGACCTGGCAGCAGCATGAGGAGGCGGTACGGGGGCCCATGGCAGATTACGGGTCTGGCAGCAGCAATGGGAGGCCCGTAATCTGCCAGCACCCTATGACAAAAATGGAAACCCACCAGCAGTGTGAGGAGACCTGAAAGTGGCACATGGCAGAGTGTGGCGATGGAGACAGCAGCAATGGGAGGCCGTACAGGGACCCATGACACACTCTGGACCTGGCAGCAGCATGAGGAGGCGGTACAGGGGCCCATGGCAGATTACGGGCCGGCAGCAGCAATGGGAGGCCCGTA